GGTGGGGGGTAGGGGATGGCAGTAATTGGTTCCAAAAACTCTAAAAGCTGGAAAGAAATAAGTAGTAGTAGTGAAAAAATGGAGATGCGGGGTGTATCAATCCCCATACCTCTAGTCTCGCATGCTAAGCGAATGCTCTACCATATGAGCTACTTCCCCTTGATGATTACCTAACCAACTTTTTCCGGTTATATTAAGACACGCAACTTAAACCCATTGCATGACGGAGATATAGACGGAGCCCGTTAAAATGTTAAACAACACAAATTCAAAAAATTGTTGTAAAACCTATAGTTAATATGCACTATTTTCATCTATAATGTAAATAACCTTTCACTACTCATTACTATTATGATTGTAATTCCCACACCTCCATAACATCTCCCCATGATCTTTCCCCATATTCTCAATTATTAATGTCATGTTTAAGACAAAAGTTATCTCTTCTTCTCTTATTCTACTTATCTACTTGTTTTATATTGTTACTTTGAGCTACATTTCTTAACACGTTATGAGCACGAAGTTGAGCTCTGTTCGTTGTTCAGGTATATTTGTTCATTTTATTTTCTTCGTTGTATATTTTGATTTCATGATTAGCATCTTTAATATGCAGTTTTATAATTTCTCACATTTCTAGATATGTGTAAAAATAAAGAATTCTATGTTTCTTTATTTTAAGCTATTTGTATGATTGTCATGTGAAAGTTGCTAATTTTCATGTTAATAGAATTAATTGAGAGAAGAATACTTATTTTATGTTGTTCGACATTAGAAATTGTGTTAAAGATAGAAGACATTTTTTTTCTAGTTAACATCAAGGATATACTAATAATTTGAAGAAACAAATAGTATTCTTTTCTATGGAATTATCACTTTAGTGTATATAGATCACAAATTTGATATTATGTCAATTTTTAAGATTCTTTACGCTATTATCCTAATGATTGCTAATTGTTTATCATCTTTGATAGTTTTCAGTATGTCGAATTTGTCAAAGCTTGAGTTTGTGGCACTTGACATTTCTGGAAAGAATTACCTATCATGGGTTCTCGATGCTGAGATTCACTTAGCCGCTAAAGGCCTTGGTAACACCATTACTCAGGGTAATGAGGCATCAAGCCAAGACAAAGCGAAGGCCATGATTTTCTTCGTCATCATTTGGATGAAGGTTTGAAGGTTGAATATTTGACAATGAAATATCCACGAATTGTGGACTGGCCTAAAGAAAAGGTATGGTCACCTTAAGGCTACGGTATTGCCAATGGCTCGATATGAGTGGATGCACCTACAGTTGCAAGATTTTAAGACCGTACGTGAGTATAATTTTGCTGTATTTCGAATAACTTTTCAATTGAAATTATGTGGGGATGTTATGAATGATGAGCATTTGTTGGAAAAGACTCTTACGACTTTTCATGCCTCAAACATGGTATTACAGCAGCAATACCGTGAATGGGGTTTTAAAAAGTATTCTGAATTGATCTCATGCCTTCTGGTGGCTGAGCAACATAATACCCTTTTGCTGAAAAATCATGAAGCCCGTCCCACGGGGTCAGCTCCACTCCCTGAAGCGAATATGGTAGCTAGACGTGATAAGTCTGGAAAAAGACTGAATAATAATCATGGCCATATAAATGTATGTGGGCATGGCAATGGTAAGAGACGATATAATAGTCATCATCGTGGTGGTCATGGCAAACGAGAGAACAATATGGGTTCTCAAAACAATCCTTCAAGAGGCAAAAAAGGTAACTGCCATAGTTGTGGCATGAAAGGTCATTGGAAAATTGAATGCCGTGCACCTGAGCATTTTGTGAGGCTTTATCAAAACTCCATCAAAAGAAAGGCAAATAATGTTGAATCATCTTCTGCTAATGCCCCAGTGGAGTCTCACCTGACCTTTAAAAATGATTTTGAGGTAGGGCTTTCAAACAAAAATGATAATAATGCCGAGTCAAATCTTGCTTTGAATAATGATGATTTCAAGGCCAATATGATCTTACTCATTTGGAAGTTGAAGATTTCTTTGGAGATCAAAACTAAACTTTGATCATTTTACTAGGGAATACAATTATGTTGTTATTTTTATTTTTCAGTGTTTTTGTCTCGTCTAAAGTTATTTTTATTTTCAAGTAGTACTTAAGTTGTCTTATGTTGTTGTTGGTGATGTTAGTTTTTCCGTATTTCTCATGATGTACTTTTTTTATTGAGAAACTAAAAGTCCCCAGTCTTCAATTGGATCCAAATGAGAAATGAAGATTTATGTCTTTTGGATAGTGCTACAACTCACACAATATTAAGAGAAAAGAAATTTTTTTCTTATTTGGTTATGAAAAAGGCCTATGTTAATACAATATCTGGTAGTACAAAATTTATTGAGGGCTTTGGAAGAGAGGACTTATTACTACTTGAAGGAACGATATTAACTATTGATAATGTCACGGCCCAAGTTCGCCCTTCGTGAACTATCGTGATGGCACCTAGTCTCTACGATTAGGTAAGCCTAACGAATTACGGAAAATAAAACAACAGGATAAAACTACAGAAATAATACAATATAAACTTTTTAAATGGAACTACATTTCCCAAAACCCGAAATCTCATGAAATCACAAGCCGTGGAATAACTACAGTGTTCTAACTCCAGAGTGTCTAAACAAAAGCAAATATAGAAGGGCTAATACTATGAGAGAGAATGGAAAGGGACACCTCGGTCTGCGGACGCGGCAGACATACCTCGAAGTCTCTGATGGATCACCCCGTCTCAGGGATAGTAGGGCGGAGTCGAAGTACCTAGATCTGCACATGAAAAACATGCGCAGGAAGGAATGAGTACACCACAGCGGTACTAAGTATGTGCCAAGACTAACCTCGGTCGGGTAGTGACGAGGAAGGTCAGGGCCCTACTGATTATAGCTGAAAAACGAGGTAAAATAGTATAGAATACGACAATATAATTAAATGCTAACAGTAAGAAGTATCAGAGGATAATAAGAATAACAACAACTATAACAGAGACAAAATAATCACAAAAGGAATACCGCTCCACACAAAGATAACAACCGGGGATCTCTCAGTATCCCGAGGATCTCTTAGTATCCTCGATATGTGTACTGGAGATCTCTCAGTATCCCGAGGATCTCTTAGTATCCTCAATATATATGCTAGGGATCTCTCGGTATCACAGGGATCTCTTAGTATCCTCAATATACGTGCTGAGGATCTCTCGGTATCCCAAGGATCTCTTAGTATCCTCAATATACGTGCTGGGGATCTCTTGGTATCCCGCACTACAGTCCAAATCAATATAGGTGCAGGGGATCTCCCGGAATACAAATCCTTAGTCCCAAAGTAAACAAGCAGGGGGATCTCCCAGGATACCGTCCTGTAGTCCCAAAGTAAACACACAACAGCTACACGAAGAATACTCAATTCAGTTCAAATTTCATACCAAGGTAAAAACAGGTATTTCTAACCTAGCATGCCACACATAATCCAAATAAGGTAGTTTGAGCAAATAAAACAATTAGACATGCTTCCCTAAGCTAACAGCAGGCTTAAATTGTAAATAGTATAAGCAGGAAAAAACACAATTAGAGTTACTTAATGAAAACGGATTTTCAACAATTAGCACAAGTACGCAATGGTCACTTCACGTACAAGGAATTTCAAATATCAACAATACCAAATCCTAAGGGGAGTTTCCTCCACACAAGGTTAGGCAAGCCACTTACCTCGAACCGGCTCAAAATTAACCCGAAACCACGCTCTTGCCATGAGTACTCGACTCTAAATGGCCCAAATCTATTCAATTCAACTGCATAATGTAAATAACACTTCAAGTAACTAATTCAACTAATTAATTCTAAGCTAATACGCGAAATTAGGAAAAATGACCAAAATGCTCATCGGGCCCATGTCTCGGAATCGGGTAAAATTTACAAATTCAGAATTCTCACACTCTCACGAGTTCATACATACCAAAATTACCAAAATCGGACCTCAAATGGTCCCTCAAATCACTAGATTAATGTCTCAAGTTTCCAAGCCCTAACTCCCCAATTTTAGGCTTCAAATCCCCCAAATTCATGTTTAATTAGGTACAATTCGCATTAGGATTGAGTATTAAGTCCATAAATATTACCTCCAAGTGTTTCCCCTTGATTCCCTCTTCAATCTTCCTCAAAAAGCTCTAAAATCGCCCAACAATGGTGAAACTTAGACTAAAAATCATGAATATGGCCTTTTAAAACATTCTGCATAGCTATTCAAAATCCTTCTTCGCGAACGCGGTCAACGCCTCGTGTTCGCGAAGCACAAACTTATGTTGACCATTTTCCTTCATCACGAATGCGACTCCCCGTACACAAACGCGAAGCTCAACCTTCCAACTCATCGCGAACGCGACCACACACCCGCGAACGCGAAGCTCACTGACCCCAACCCTTCGCGAATGCGGGGCCCCCATCGCGAAGGCCAAACCTCCTGCCTCTAATCCTAACCCTTCGCGAACGCGAGGGCCTACTCGCGAACGCGAAGGCCAAAAGCCTGCAACACTAACAACATATTTTCTGCAATTTCCTTCAACATGAAATGATCCGTTTAACCACCCGAAACTCACTCGAGGCCTTCGGGACCTCAACCAAACATGCCAACCTATCCCACAACATCATTCAAACTTGTTCCAACCTTCGGAATGCTCAAAACAACATCAAAACACCAAATGTACATCGGATTCAAGCCTAAGGATTCCAAAAACTTCCAAATTTCGCTTTCAATCAAAAAGTCTATCAAACCTCGTCCGAATGACCTGAAATTTTGCAAGCACTCACATTCAGCACTATGGAGCTACTCCAACTTCCGGAATTCCATTCCGACCCCGATATCAAAATCTCACTATCAAACCGAAAACATCAAAAATTCAACTTTCGGCATTTCAAGCTTAAATAAGCTACGGACCTCCAAAATACAATCCGAACACGCCCCTAAGCCCGAAATCACCCAACGGAGCTAACAGAACCGACAGAATTCCATTCCGAGGCCGTCTTCACACTGCTCCGACTACGGTCCAAATTTTAAATCTTCCCAAAACACTCCGAAACTCAAATTAAATCCTCCCAGCAACTCACAATAGCAGAAACAAACACGGGAAAAGCAGTTAATAGGGGATCGGGGCGTAAATTCTTAAAACGACCGGCCAGTTCGTTACATCCTCCACACATAAACATTTGTTCATCCTCGAACGAGCATAGAGACATACCTGAAGTAGTGAAAAGATGAGGGTAAGGGCTGCGCATATCCTGCTCGGTCTCCCTAGTCGCCTCCTTGACCGGCTGACCCCACCATTGAACCTTCACTGATGCAATGCTCTTCGACCTCAACTTTCGAACCCGCCTGTCCAATATTGCCACCGGCTCCTCAACATAAGATAGATCCTTGTCCAACTGGACTGAACTGAAATCCAACACGTGCGACGGATCGCCATGATACCTCCGGAGCATCGAAACATGAAATACGAGATGAACTCCTGCTAAGCTGGGAGGTAAGGCAAGCTCATAAGCAACCTCCCCAACACGCCTCAATATCTAAAAAGGTCCAATAAACCTCGGACTCAACTTCCCTTTCTTCCCAAATCTCATAACGCCCTTCATAGGCGAAACCCGAAGCAGAACCCGCTCTCCAACCATATAGGAAACATCACGAACCTTTCGGTCCGCATAACTCTTCTGTCTGGACTGGGCTATGCGAAGTCTATCCTGAATCACCTTATCCTTATCCAAAGCATCCTGTACCAAGTCTGTGCCCAATAATCTAGCCTCACCCGGCTCGAACCAACCCACCGGAGATCTATACCGCCTACCATATAAAGCCTCATACAGTGACATCTGAATGCTAGACTGATAACTGTTATTGTAGGCAAACTCCACCAATGGCAAGAATTGATCCTAAGACCCTCCAAACTCAATCACACACGCACGGAGCATATCATCAAGAATCTGAATAGTGTGCTCGGACTATCAGTCCGTCTGAGGGTGAAATACTATGCTCAACTCCACCCGAGTACTTAACTCATGTTGTACGGCCCTCCAGAACCGTGATGTGAACTGAGTACCTCTATATGTAATGATGGAAACTGGAATACCATGCAGACGGGTAATCTCCCGGATATAAATCTCCACCAACCTCTCCGAAGAATAAGTAGTACTTACAGGAATGAAATGCGTGGACTTGGTCAGCCGATCCACAATCACTCAAATGGCATCGAACTTCCTCAATGTCCGTGGGAGCCCGACTACGAAGTCCATGGTGATTCGCTCCCACTTCCACTCCGGAATCTCTATCTGCTGAAGCAATCCACCCAGTCTCTGGTGCTCATACTTCACCTGCTGACAATTGAGGCATCGAGCTACAAACCCAACTATATCTTTCTTCATCCGCCTCCACCAATAGTGCTGTCTCAAATCCTGGTACATCTTCGCGGCACCCGGATGAATGGAATACCACGAACTGTGGGCCTCCTCTAGAATCAACTCCCAAAGCCCATCAACATTGGGTACACAAACTCGACCCTGCATCCTCAATACCACGTCATCACCAATAGTCACATCTTTGGCATAGCCATGCAAAACCTTGTCCTTGAGGACAAACAAATGAGGGTTATCAAATTGACGCTCTCGGATACGATCAAACAAGGAAGACCGAGAGACCATGCAAGCTAGAACCCGACTGGGCTCTGAAAGATCTAATCTCACAAACTGGTTAGCTAAGGACTGAACATCCATCGCCATAGGCCTCTTTGCTGCTGGTAAATAAGCTAAACTCCCCAAACTCTCTGCCTGGCGGCTCAAATCATCAGCCACCACATTGGCCTTGCCCGGGTGATACAAAATAGGGATATCATACCTTCAACAGCTCTAGGCATCTCCTCTGACGCAAATTAAGGTCCTTCTGCTTGAACAGATGCTGCAAACTCCGGTGATCAGTATAAATCTCACAAGGCACACCGTACAAATAGTGACGCCAGATCTTCAAGGCGTGAACAATAGCAGCT